GCAAAAACAGATAAATAGCTATGTATCCTTTTTGTAAAATGGACCAAGCTGAATTAAGACTATGAACGGTAATGAAGCTGTGAAAAAATCTGTTTGAATTTGTTTATCTGTGGAAGAGAGCCAACATGCTCATATTTTATCATTACTATTATAAAAGTGTTCTGTGATTTCTACAACTCCAGTGCTTTAGTGTGGGTAAAACCTGTATTTTTGCAAAAGCTCTGATCCAAAACTTAAATTAATAGGAAGAATCCACTTGCTGGCCGTCTGGGGATCTGATCCAACGCTGGATAGACACTGACAGGTCAGGGATCAGTCTGGAGCCCAGCAGAGAGCAGCCATCTCATTCAGTGATGCTTTTAATATTTCAAAATTGAGTTTGTTCTGATTCTGGATGAAAACCAAAGGCAAATTTTTTTCCATGGAAGGGAAAGGCTCTTCAGCTCCAGCTGCCAGCCTCCAACTCCAGAACTCAGAAAATCAGGGAACCGGAGACGGCAGCGGGCTGGCGGCCCCGTGGCCCGAGGTGACCCACGTGGCGCAGCTGGGACAGAGTCACAACCCGGGAGTCTCCGAGGCGCGTAGCCGAGATTCACAGGCTTGCAGAGATTGGCAGTGTCAGCACGCTGCTGCCAGCCTCCCAGGCAGCACCTCTCGGTCCTCCTTTGGGATGCAGATCCTGAAATGAAATGTTTGGGGGTGAGGTGGAAACCAGCTTCTGAAATCTTGCGGTGTCCTCTGAATTTTCAAATCCTAAATTGCAGCCACTTCGTTCAGAAAGGTGGAGAACGGGAATTAGAGGTTTGTGTCAAGAAAACCTAGTAACTGTATATTTAGCTCTTAAAAGATCATTGCTATTTCAAGTTGTTGATGATTTAGAAACTCGATGTTGTCCCCACCTGGAGGGGGTACAAAAAAAAAAAAAAAAAAAGTGAAAATGTGAGTGCAGATGTAATAGGGGAATAGTTACATCCTGGCTGAGGCACGTATGGAGCCCGGTGCTTCGCACACAGCAGTGACCTCCAAGAGCCCAGAAACAGGGGTGTCCCTCCGCAGGCACAGCCCAGGCTCTGGGGCTCCTCGCAGCCTGGGGGGGTCCCAGCTCGGGGGACCAGACCGACCTTCCTCTTCCAAAGCCAGCATACAGGGATTTGGCTGAGCATGTTTTTTTACAGAAAAGCAATTAACTTGCTGTTCTTTTAGGAGCAGGAAACATCTCATTCTCTTTCTTCCTGCAGTCTGATAGTGTTATTTCTTCTTTGCCTTTAATATGATTATGCCCAATTACTTTAGAGCACAGGAAACTCCAAAGAGCAAAAATCCAAATAGTTTTTCAATTTACTCCCAATGCTGCCTGAATGCAGCAAAGAGAAATCTACTGTAAATTCTCTGTAAAAAGTAATACGAACTTGAGCAGATCTTCTTTCTGTCCATTTGAGATGTGCCTAATCTCTTAAACAATTAGACACATCGGAATGTTTAGATTGGTTGATTTTTGGCAAATTACCAACATCATGCACAACAAATACTGTCACACAACAGTTTCTATCAGGGAAGACAAAATAGGGAAATGCATAGCATAGGAGGAATTACATATTCCCGCAGAGTGTCTCCTCCTACTGCTGCTGGGTCTTGGAGCGCAAAGTCCATCGTGGCTGTGATGGCATCTCTGCCTGCCATGGAATGTCCATGGTCTGGTGTACAAAATGACCCATCTCCATCTATTCTGTTTCACAGCTGCTGTGCAGGAAAGGCCAGAGTCTCTAAATGAGGAATTTCTGGCTTGAATAATCAAAATCACTATTTTCTACCTGGCCTTTAAAAACTTTGACTCATTGCTTTCTTTTTTCAGAGGTACCTACCTTCATCTATCTCATTGTATAGTCTCCTGGTTTCACTTACCTTCTGCAGTTGTACAAGGTTTCCTCTTCTCCCCACTCAGGAAAATCATGCCACTGTGGGGAGATACAAGATACTCATTGCAGTTCTCCCCACCATGTGTCTGCACATAGAGAATATCAGTTTTGTTACACACTGCAACCGCAGAGTATTCTCTTCATCTTTCACCGGAGCCCTTTATGCTCTTAGGTTTTCTGGTCCTTTGGTTCCAGGCTTTATTTAAGTAAAATAATTTGTGTAGCTTTTTAGACCAACTTAAAGGGAGTGGCAATGGAGTGGCCTCTCAAACGAGTCTTCTCTATTTTTCTTGCAAATAATCCATTCTTTTGGCTTAAAGATTATTTTCAAAATTGCTTAATCTTTCCTATTTACTAAGCACACTTATGCTGTGGTGTAATACTGAGGTGTGACAATAAAAAGCTGTTCAAAAATGTTAAGCAAGCAGCATCCCATTTTATTGTACATCAGAAAAAAAAAAGTCTTAGTATAATAATTTTAGAGCATTTTATATTGAAGCAGAGGGAAGACTCCATTTATCTCTCTGCAAAACTGTCTTAATTTCGTCAACCACTGAAAGTTCTCAGAGACTTTTCCACATCCTGGCTGAGGTAAACAACAAAGTCAGTTGTAGGAATCAATCAGCTATTCCTTCTCCACACAGGAATTGCTAGGATTTGATCTTGCCTTTTATAGGCTTTTGAGATTCAATCATTAAAGTCTTTTATTTTGCCATTCGTTTCACAGGTATTCAGTTTGCCTAATCTCAGAGTGGGGAGTGGGGTGGAACAAACCCCAAACACCAAATTTTGGAGAGCTGGCATGACTCTGTAGAATATTAAAAACAAAGTGTTGCATCCTAGAGAATTAGGTTAACTCTAGATGTGGTACCATAGACAGCCTATGGCTTCAAATTCTGTGACTAAATGAAAAGAAAACAGCATTTCAGTAAAACCAGCCATCAACAAACCAGGGCAGCGACAGTGACTGAGAAATACTCAAAGACGGAAAAGCTAATAGTAATGGAAGACCTGAATTACCCCTGTGTAGACTGGAAAGTGCTGGAGCGGGTCACAGTATAGCCTTTTATAGCACCGTAAGCACTACTTAGAGCAAGTAGCTGGCAAAGCCACACAAGTCACTCAGTAAGTCCTGAGAGCTGTGCACAATCTGGGGTACGATGTAACGACTGAAAAGCCTCTTAGTGCCTGTAATATGCTCGAGCATAACAGCTCTGTAGGAGTGAGGGCGCAAAAATCCGCCCCCCCCCCCCCCCCCATTCAATGTAATAAGTTTTAACTCTGAGAATTCTGTAAATACAAGAAAGCAAGTTACGAAGGAATATGAGCAAAAAAAGTGGTAGGATGCTTTCAAGAAGCTTGGATGCTACCTAAATACATCATAGCAGATGTTCAGAGTCAATTTGTACAATCAGACAGAAAACTTCAAAAAGGTTTCCTCCTCTCTTTTGGATAATATGTTAATAAGAATGTTCCCAATGGTTTTCAACAAAACATAGTCATTGTGGAACACTTTTTTTTTATCTGATCACATTCCAACCTATGCATCATTAATATTGATCATTGGTGCATATGGATCAGTGCTGATCCTAGCTCATCCTGATTGGTGCTAATTATTTGTATGGGCCTGGACCAATTCCCTCCTCTGAATGACTCTAGCATCTCCTGGAGACGTCTGAATATCGCTCCGACACTCCAGTCCCTAGAACAGCCTGGTCCAAAGCCCCAGATCCAGACATGTCCCAACTTGGGGAGGGTTCAGAGTCAAAGCCTAGACCCGATTTTCACTGCTGGTGCTCCCATCCCCTGTTATTACCGGCCCCGGGAGCCGGAGGGCCCTGCAGCCACCCCTCTCTTGCTGCTCACATAGGCGGGGGTGGGCACAGCCCCACCTGGACCGTGGGCACGGATGCTGTGGGCACATTGTGGAGACCCTCTGCTCCAGCAGCTGGGGAGAAGGTGTGCTGTGCTGGCCAGAGTGAGGAGTTTAACCCCTCCCGAGCTCCCCCGGGGCCGTCCGTGCTTGTACACATGTAAGCACAAGACTGGGTTCTGCCGTGAGCAGGTAATGGGAAATTGTGTTGGTGGGGCACGGCTGTGAAATGCATCACGTTCTGCTTAGGATTGCGTTGGTATCGAGACAGAGCATCTCCACAAAGCTGAACAAGTTCTGGATTTACATGTGATTTTGCTCTCCGGTCAGGGAAGGTGTGCACAATAACATCTGCTGTCTTGGTGTAAACCCAAGGTAACGCTTCTGGAGATGGGGATCGGTGCGCAGAAAATCAGTGCATAGAAAGAATATTGATTACTTTGTTCTGAAGAGTCTGTGAGCTTCTGAGTGACACTAGCAATCTCTAGGAGATGTACCTTTTCAGACACGCTCTCCATATGGTGGACGAAAGCATTGCCTGTATTTGGTGTGCAGCACGTTTGAGTTCTTTGCAAAGGTAAGTGGGAAGGCCTGCTTATGATTTTTTTTTTTTTCCTCTTGGTAAAGACAACTTCAGAAGTCAGACCAACACTGACAGGGAAACTGTGATAGCTTAAGACTAAAAATTTAATAGGGTTGTGCTAATACAGGAGAGCGTGTTGCTGCTTGTATATGAATATACTGTAATTCTGCAGATAATCAAAATCAAAGCAGGCTGAGCTAGGGTAAGTAAGCAAAGCTTCTGAGTGAAATAGCCAAGCTCCTGCACTTAAAGCAGGGAGGAGGTCCATGCTTTAACAGGTGTGCCTGATTCCAGAGCTGACAACTTGGAGTGCAAGGCAATCCAGAGTCCACAAGGCAAATGGTTGGGTCCACGTGTGCTGACTAACTTACTGGCTGCCTCTCCTGCTGCTGGAAAGAGCATGTGGATGACTGTCGTCAGGGTTGTACCGAAGGAAAGCTCAAAGGGACAATGCCAGCCTGGCTTTTTCTTTTTTTCTATCACTCGGCTGCACTGAAGCCCGATGCCTCTGGTAGCCAGTGGCGGAGCAGTGAGGAGCTGGTTTTGTTGCTGTGCTTTTACGGGAGAAGCCTGGCTGCATTAACTCTTACAAAAACAAGCACCTAGACAACTCGAACAAAATCCAGTGATGGAGGTTGCCTCCACAGAAGCCAGCAGCAGCTCCCAGGGAGGCACCGGCTGGCGGGATCTTACCCTTGTCACCTGCACTGAAACGGTGACTTTCACTGAAGTGGTGGCAGAAGAGGAGTGGGGATCCTTTTACTATTCTTTTAAGGTATTCTTTTAAGGTGTGCGTTACTTTTCTCACATGCTTGCAGCTTTGGTGCATTTTCAGCACCTCTGCGGGGAGACAACTAGGATTATTGAACTTTTTTGCCCAGATATTGGTGTTTTTTTTTGCCCCTGCAAAGACAGTGGACAGCATGTGTGAGGCATTTCCTGAAAAAAAAAATAGTTGTAGGAATTGGAGTTCAGACTTACAGGTCTTAGCCAATTGTATCCCCTTCCAAGAGGGGACGGTACTGTTCTTCTACAGAGGTGTTGTAATTATACATGCATCTCTAATCAAAAGCTTGTATTAGTTTAACACATTTTAAATGTAATTTCTTATAGCCATCATCATGACATAAGGGATTTCTTTTCAGTTTTCCAGCTGCAACAAACTTGTACACAAGTGAGAGGGTTTTTTGTTGGTTTTGTTGTTGTTGTGTTTTTTTTTTTTTTTTTTAAATCATGAGTGACAGGTTCTAATTAGTTGGTTTGTTTGTTTGTTTTTAACTTGAGTGGGGGATGCAGTGTCTCTTAAAGGCTGCTGTTAAGAATGCACCAGATGAATCATTCAGTAGTGAATGCTGTTGAATGACATGAGAAGTGTATTCATTCCTCTCCAGAAACAAACATCACTCTTACAATATGTGAATGTACGAAAAAGATGAAAGAGGTGCTGAAGTTCATCTTTCCTTCAGATTTCCATGCCTGTTGTCATTGCTTAATTTCATGCTGTGTGCCATGTGTCACTTTACTGTTGTGGCACATTGTACAAGTTAAGTTAAAGCTCTTAAAAAGTCTGACAAGGACTACCCTGCCATTCCTTCTGGAGCTCAGGACCAGAGATCCCTTTCAGCTGGAAAGATGTAGGTAGTTGTGTCATTTCACAGTATGTTAGGTGAAAGGGGGATAAGTTCAGAGAATAGTTTGATATATGTGAGAATGTTAGTGCTTTGACACAGTGCCAGTGGAATCAGTGAAATTACAACAGGTTTCCACCCCTATTAAGGAAAAAGTTGATCTGTACTTCTACAATTAATTAATAAGGGTCTCATTCAATATGCTGCTGATACTTTTTTTTTTTTTTCCCTTGATAAGACAGTACTTTCTTATCTAGGATTTCAAGGATGAAAATTCTTTCTTTTTCCTCTTTTTTTTTTTTTTCCCTCACCATGTTAGACTGCTAAAATGCTCTTGAAAAAAATCAGAAGTGACAACTAAAATATTTTTAACAACTTTCTCTTTATCTCCTTTGTTCTTTCCACAGTTAGGGCTATAAATCTGAACAATGTCATGGGAGCAGTATTTTATATTGGTAAAAGTGACAATTAATTCAATTAAGTCCCCAGGCAGAAAAATGTTCCTTATTAGGGGAGATTGAGTAAATTACAATAATTAGGAAACCATGGATAGTCATGCATGCTCATCCATTGCTAAAGGAAACTTGATTCTGTTAGCTGAGAGCTTCTCATTAGACTTGCACTCCTCTGTTGGATGTCTAGCTCTGGCATATATAGCATGAACTTTGCAAGGAGGTTCACTGATTTCACATCAATTACTAGCTGTTGATAGGCATGGAAATGTTTTGACTCTGGAGACAAGTGACAGCTGGTGCTGCTGCAGGAAAGGAGGGATAAAGCACCTGCTTTGATGAATATAGTGCAGTGAAGACAGGGCTCCCTGCCAGCTACTTCAGCTCTCGGTAAAAGCTCATGTGTGGAAGCTGCTGCTGATACCTGCTGACTTGGCTGGCTGTCCTCCACCAGCCCTGCCCAGGTTGTGGCCACGTCCTTGCCCCTTCCAGCAAGCCAAGCAGCATCTCCTTCCTATTCACAAGGGTCTGGGTAAGTAGCTGAAGCAATAAAAGTTTAAGCTTGGAATAGACTGAATGGATTAAAAACCAGAGCTCAGTGCTCAAAATGTAGCTACAAATGGGGGTTTGGTCTTTTGTTGGGATTTTCAAACGTGGTGTAGCCCACAGTTGAATGGCTACCACACAGGCTGACTCCAGAGCTTGCATGCCAGGATTCAGACAGGGCACACAAGCTATTTCTGCTTGGGAAATCCAGGTGTAACCTAACTTACCAAAGTGGTCATGGGGAATCATCATCTAAGCCAATACATGGAGACAAGGGAATGACACTCACCCAGTACCTGGAGCAGTTTCTGTGTTAATGACTTCTTAAAGATTTTACCCAATGACAACTGTGTAGGGTATGTTACGTGCCACTTGAACTGTGGGAGCATGTGTTGGTTTCTTCTTTTCCCCCCATGCATCAAAAGGGCCGCCTGTACCGCCTAAGGTAGTGTCTGTGTTACACTGTGGTGGCAATGTCACAAAAGTAAAATAACACGCCTTAGAGCATTTCAGTGCTACAGAGTCCTCTTATAGGCTGAGCTGTGAGTGCTGCCCTGCTCCCCTTTTCAGAAGCATTTGAGTTTCTGTCTATTCCTCTTCAGAGTTTAACAACTAAATCCCATATCGCTTCAGATTAGAAAGCATTTTCCCAGTTCAATTAGGTTTCTTTTTTTTTTTTTTTTTTCTTTTTGGCTGGGAAATGGAGCATTTCATCCACTTGGAGGAATGCACATTTCCCTTCTGGAAGTCATTACTGTAGCTCCTTGGCCAGCTGCTCACCAAGGCTTTGCCCATGAAGTCTGCTTTGGGGCCACAGCCATGCGTGCTAACCGGGCTGGCTCTCGGCGTGCGGAGTTGCAGCCTTCGGGACAGGATTGGGTGCACCGGTGCATCACTCAGCACTCAGGACCAGCTGGTGCTTCCCACAGCAAAGGCACTGGCTCATCCCCACTACGTTCAGGTCTTGCTGCTGTGTTATGGTAAACAGTCCCCGAAAGCCCAGACTGTATTTCTCCCCAGGTGACTTTATGTGAGGCATCCAGGTAGGTTACTGTCTTAAACCACAAGGAGTCCTGTTGGATGTGTCAGCACCAAATTCAGAACAGATGTGCAAATTGGTATTAATTACAGCTTCAACTTTCGGGGCCAAAGGAGACTTCATTACATCCCTTTACAATCTCCTCCATGTGCATTTAATCTATGTGTAAAAGGGCTCTAAGCAAGTGTCAACTGCCCTCTGCCAAGTACAGTAATCTGAAAAGAACAGAGATCAGCTGAACACCTGTGGCCTTCCTCCACTTTAGGACCTTTTTATCTCTATGAACCTGGCAAGGTGCAAACCAGAAACTTGACAGGAGAGAAGTTGAAGCCTCAGAATAGGTTTTCCCCCACTGTCCACAGGGTTGGGAGGCTTTGTCAGGGCTGGAGGAAATTTCCCCCCTTGCCAGGCCCCCAACAGCCCCAAAGCTTCCCCCAATGGTAGGACCATGTGCTCATCCCTAGAGAGGATTGAGGACTCAACTCTTTTTTTAAGAGGTCTGCTGAGAAACAGGATGCTCTACTTTTATGCAATAAATGTTGGAGTGCTCAGAAGGAGAGAAGTCCCAGCTGCTGTTCTTTTCTCGGTGAAACTGTATTCCAGCCATCATCTCCTGCCTCCCAGGAGAGCAGTCTGGCTTCCATCATCTAGTACATTTTTTTATTTTGTTTTCTGATGTCTAGAGTTGAACCCTCACCTGTGAAGCAGGATGCAGAGGTTTTGTCGTTTGCACCCGAGGTTGTTTGGGAACTCCAATCTCTCCCTGCCAGGTGGGAACCCCAGGCACTGGTGCACATGTTGACATCCCCCACCCTCTGGCCCCATGAGCCCTGGTCCCTGCGCCATGCAGCATCACCCCAGCAGCGGTGCTGAAGTGATAGAGCTCTCAGGAGGGACGATGTGCACATCAAATTCACCATGAGTGATTTTAGACATATAACCTAAATTCCCAGTTTCTTTCAGGAAGGACTGTTTGAGTCTCTACTTGACTGTCCTCCCCCCACACATGGAACCTAATGCTCTTTACAAAGGTCAGGGCTTACCCTCTCCAGCAAAGAGCTGAGGAAACCAATGCATGGAGAGAAGGTTTTCATAGACTCGTTTTGTAGGACTATCAGATAACAAGGAATTGGCTCCAGCTGTCCTCAGAGCCTGTTTTAAGTCAGAATCTGTCATCCCTGTTGTTTCATAAAAATGCAGAAGTCTCTTTATCTCCTGGAAAGCATGCGCCTGTGCTCATTCTGATTTTCAAGCAAACCTCACAGAGCATCCCATTATTGAATACATAATAGAAAAATAATAATGGGTGCTGTCAAATTTCTGGAGTAATCTCTGCAAATGCAATCATACGGTTTAGAAAAATAGGCATATCAAATAATTCATAAGTAACTTTGCAATCTTTTGGGGGGGGGGGGGGGGGGGAGAGAGGAGGAGAATTAAGTCTGCACAAATAAGGAACTCCTGAACACAGCCTTCGCAATATGCTGTAATGACTGTTGCTATTCCTGAGATGTTGTGCTGAGAATGTAATAGCTGATCTCCTTGCGAAACAAATCTGCAGTGCTTTTGTCCAGGCTGGCTTCATCCAGTAGCTTAAATGTAACACAGAAGTGATCTGGCTGTATGACAGCCCAGCTGGGGGTAGCTCTGAGCCAACTGGTTTGATGGTTTTATACTAGCAACTCTCGTACTTCTGACTCCAAGGTCCACACAACCACAGGGTTTACGTCTGTCTGCCTCTCCTATATAAATATGCCTAGAAAGTATTAATTTCTCCATCTTTTTGAGAATTTTTAATTGTGCAGATTAGGCGTATTTAATAATTTTACCCCTGTTTGTGATTAAGAAAAAACAGCACTTCACAGTTTTTAATAGGGCTATCAAAATCATACAATTATGAATGGCTCATTGAGTGACCTAATATTATCTCTTCATGTTGAAAACGTTATAGGAAAAAACAGAGAGGTACACTGTGAAAAGTGTGTCTTTCCTGATTACACTAAAATCAGGGATATCTGCTTCTCTACTTTGGTGGAAGTTTCTTAGGGTGCAATGGGTAAAAACCCCCTGCAATAACTGAACAGTACTGTCCTCATTTATTATCCATCTT